AAGATTCGTGCAATAGGCCTTCCCTTCCCCTGGCTGCCGGCACTGGTTTTCCTCCAACACCTGGGACCCAGGCCTTCAGTCTTCACTCCACCGCTTTGTGCCTATGTATGCAAATTAACCGCCATATTTGTTTGTGGTTAATTTGCATATCTCGCTGATTAGCCAATGGGAGGGGTAGTGAAGGTACGGTCAATTACTGTGTTTATCTATTATTAGATAGGATATGTAAAAAGAAAATTAATAAATTTGTAATTTATTCATTAAAGCTTATTCATCACAACCATTCTACCTGCATTTGAAAAACAGTTGCATATACATATGGTGAAAACAGCATCTTCACTGGGTCTCAGACCATGCATGTGAGCATGTGGATAGAAGACCCTTGCCCTCCACAGTGCCCTGGGGGCTGAGCCCTGCAGGCTGGAAGCCCTGCACCTGCCTGTCCTTTGTTTTTAAGGTATATTTGGTAGGTGCTGGTGCCACCCCGGATGCTGTTGCACTCGAGAGGTTCTCTTTTGTGAAAAATGGAAAACAATTGGCTCAAACTCAACTTTATTGATAAGTTTCCCTCCTAACTTTCTAGGCATGGGTCAAAATCACTTCCTTAAATTTAAACAATGTTTAAACAAGTACACATTTGTACTGAGATTTTAATATTTGTCTTGACATAAGATTTTATTTTCAACTATATATAATTTAACAATGATATATTCTTATTAAAGAATAGATCTAAGAAGGTTGGTGGGGGCGCTCATTTTATAAAAAGGAAACTGTAGGGAAGTTAATAGCTTGACTGAGGTCACACTTAAAGTTACAGGCTGGCCTGAGACTAGAACTTATTTCTTAAAATAAATTCTGTTGCTTTTCACTTGATCCTATATTAAGGGCCTTAAAAAATCTTTTTAAGTAAATAATATCCGAGAGATTCCTTTAACACATCCTTTACCACTGGGATCTTGCAATCCCTCTACCATCTACATATGTGTTGGTGGTATAGTGGTGAGCATAGCTGCCTCCATCTACATACAATAAGATATTGAGATAACTCATTGCAGACAGCAGCTTTTCTGTTATACAGACTAGCTCTGTTATGAACAAAGACCAGCACATCTGATCTATAGAATTTTTGTGGTTGTTTAAAGGAATTTAGTGAAACCAACGCAGCAAAGCAGTGTTTCTATGAATAACTGTGCCTCAGGAAAGGCCTGTGCTTAATATTAAACAGCATGCAGTGCAAAGCCCTCCGGCCTGCATGACCTCCCTGCAGACACCTCCCTGGCACCAGCTGGCAGGGCTCCACGGTGCTTAGCTCCATTCAGGTTTCCCCCTCAGCCCCAGACTCAGGTTAATTCTAAATTACAATCCAGCCTGCTTTCTCAGGGGTCCCTGAGGCATTATTGCTAGAGAATGCAACTTGTTTTGTGAACTGAAAGCCAAAGTAGTTCATGTTTGGCTAAGAGTAAAAACAAAATAAGAAAATGCAGAACTCATGAGAAGAAACAAAATGAGATACAAGCCCTCTTTCTTTCATATGGGGCAAGTGCAGGGTATGGGAGGACAGTGGGAGGGGTGGGAAGTGTAGAGGAGGCAGCTGAGTTTATTTTTAACACCAAGTTAAAGCATACTCTGTGTTCTTTCCTTTTAAAAATAGACTTTTAACCTCTTGAAGCGTTTTGACTCTATTCTGCCTGTGGGGTAATACCCCTTTTGTGGCTGGCAACTCTCACTGGATCTTTTCCCATTCCAGGCTTACCAGCCAAACAGCTAGAAGGATGGAAAAACCCAAGAATGTTTCTACCCAGAACTCCTGATCAGCATGTGCACACAGCTCCTGTATGCAGAAGCTTATAACTCTTGGCTGCTAACCTGGACCTTGAGCGTGACTGCGTTTTTCAAAACCTGATGGCTAGAGAAAATGTCCTCTTTTTAAAATAGTTGGATTAGTAAAATAATGAATATATTCTTTTTTAAAGGCCATCACAATAATTTATTGACTTTATGAATGACACAACACACTCATATACACACTTACACCCATAAAATTAGATATGTATGAGTAGATAACAGCTAATCTCTAGCCTTTATTGAGGGCCTACTATGTGCCAGGCACTGTTTCACATACATTTCATGCTTTGAACAGTTCTCTCAATAGTAGCATCCCAATTTTACAGATGAAGAGACATGGGCTCAGGGCTATTAAGTAACTTGTTAAAATTATAAAACCAGTAAGTAGTTTTTGGGGAGGAAATTCAAACTAAGGTAGTCAGGCAGTTTGAGTTCACTGCTAGCCCGTATAGTGAGTCTACTAGTATAATCAATCAGAAAAGGAGTCCCTACCCTAAGACACTTTTGTTCCCATCTGTTGGAAAGTTGTCCAATATACTGATTTTGTTAGAACAAGACATTTTATTGCCACTTGTAAGACCATTGTCATAATAGCAATGCAACTCTACAGTGCTGACGATGTGAAGGGTGCCCCTTGGATGTGACATCCTCATGCAGTGCACAACCTGTGCAAAGGTAAATGGCAATCCTAGGCTCACACACACCTGCACGTATGACAGTTTATGAAGAAAACGGTTTTAGTTTAGAAGGAGAGAGTCTAGTTTTTTAGAGGTAGTTAGACTGATCTGATATTAGTAACAGATCTAAGTGCCTCAGTCTAGAATTAGCACAGATCCTATTAGGAACTCTGAAACTTGTGTTTGTACATAGTACAAAATGCCCTACTCACTCCTTCCCTTTCTTCTCCTCAGGGGAAAAAATACTGCATTCACATTGGAAGGAAGGTCTTTGTTTGGATGTGTATATGATTGTGTTAAGGTGTAGGGGAAAAAGAAAACCTGGGAAAATTTCAAAATAACTGAAGTAGGAAAAAGCCTAATGAACTCCACTTATCACCATAATGACAAGTCTTCCTTGTTCTATGTTCCTACTTAATCCTCCTTTATTTTGAAGCAAATTCTAGGCATCATATCATTTTATCCAAAAAATATTTCAATACTTTTCTCTACAAGATATAAACTGTTTTTAAAAAAAATTTTTTTTTTAAAATACCACAATACCCAAGGAGAGGGGTAGGAGAGGGCAATGGGGGGAAAAGGGGGTCATATGTAATACTTTCAATAATAAAGATTTAGTAAAAAAAATAGAGAAGTGTCTTATAATGGTATTTTGATGAAGTAGGAACAGAACTACTAACAAGACTAAACCTTGGCTTTTCCAGAATAAATTATTTATGTATTTTTCTCTAGTTGTGAGAGAAGAGGAAGCATCATACACAAAAAATACATTTTTAATATGGTTACATATGTTTATTCCTTTAAATAAAGCTCTCAAGTCAGAGGAAAATAGAATATATGTCTCATAATATCTTAAGTAATCCTACTTTCTGGATTCACAAAAATACCTAGTATGTAGATAATATTTTGTTTCAAATAAAATAATTTTCTGTTGTATCTAAAGAATAACTTGAGAGATAATACTTATGACTCTAGTTTATGGTGAGTAAGGAATTTCATAATAAAAATTTATAGTTTATAGAAACAAATTAAGCAATTTATAACTTCTTTCTTATTCTTATAAATAAAACAATCTCTATAAAGTTGAAAAAAATAACAATACCCTTAATCTAAACAGAAATAGCAATAACTCCTTATTTCATTATATATCCAGGGTTCAAAATTTCAACTGTCTTCCAAATGTGCCAAATTTTCTTTTGTTTTTGCTTGTTTTCACCTGTGCTTGTTTGAAATGGAAAGAGTTGAAGTCCAAGCATCACATTAGTTGTGAATCTACAAGTTCTTCCTTCATCTCTTTTTTCCCACCGTCTGGATTTTGCTGACATGCTGACATGGCAACCTCACAATGTAGTTAACAAGTTGCTCAGTAGCAGAAGCCTTTCTGGGAGGAGTCCAGGCATCTGTATATTCTGTTAAGGTGCTCCGGGGAATTTGAGCCACAGCCAAGCTTGAAAAGAACTGGAAAGGCTCAGTGTCTGCTCCTGGATTTCTTGTTTGAAGAAAACAAAACTCTGAGGAACGCACTTGAGCGCCATGGTGAAAGCATAGGCCCACCAACGTTAACAGGTAAAGTACACTGGCTTGCATGTTGAGGGCAATGTAGGGTAGCCTCCCCAGGGTAATTTAGGGGGCTCTAGGAGAACAGTTTTTCAGCCGGGCTTGAGAGGGGGCAATGGACCTGAATTAGTGGCATAGGGAAAAAGAGAACCTCCCAGCTGCGGGGCATTTGGTCTCAGTTGGGACCAAGTGGGAACCAGTAACCAGTAGGCAAATTGCCAGTTAACAGGCAAAGCCTCTACTTTGCAGGCATGAATTATCTGGGGCTTGACTTAAGTGGAGTGTAAATAACTGGTAAGACCAAATGTCCTATGGATACTTGACTACTGTTAAATCTACTTGTCTTCAATGGATTGTGCAATGAAAACATTTGATTCATTTTGAGTACTTCTCTCTCTCTCTCTCTCTCTCTCGATTCTGGCTTTGCTTAAGAAATCAAATGAAGGTTGATGGGTTCACTGGGCTCTGCTTTATAGCCTCCACCACAAGAAGTGATTGCACCAATGTCATTGCTAGTAAAGGTGGCCTTGTCCTTGCTGTGGAAGAAATAGAGCTGTTGTCTATCCTGGGCTGCTCTGCTTCTGGGTCATTAGCCTTGGCTTTCTCTCTCCCGTGCCTCTTGAGGGCTTGGGCTGATTAAAAAAGAATAACAGAGAATGACGGTTTTTTGTTTTTTTGGGGGGTAATGTTAGGGTTTTGAGCTTTCCTCTTCCCCACTTCCACACTGGTCATCAGCACTTGCCCCAGCCTTCTGATGCCCCCCTTGCCCTACACCAGCTGCCTGGAAAGGTGCTTGTTGTCAGAGAGTCTGGGGTCAAGGTCTGCCCAGCAATCTCACTGGCTGGCTGGGTGACCTCGGGTAGGTCATTTGATTCTCTAGGCACTGATATCTTTACCTGTAAAATAAAGATTGCATCACCTGGTCTGCCTATCACATGAGGATGTGATGAGGATCAAGTCAAATGCGTTAATGTAGGTAAAAGGCCTTCATTAAACTATAAAGCGTTACACAGGTGTCCTTGCTGCTTGATGCCTCCACCTGAATTCATTCTCTCCTGGCTGATAGTGTAGAAGAAATTACACAGATTTTAGAGTCAAGTAAGACCCCATGACTTTCTAGCTGTATTATTATGGGCAAATCGTGCTCTGGGGTTTGGTTTCCTCATTAAAAAATGAGGATAACTTTACCTGGCATTTATTTATTTACATCTTTATTTATTTAGGCCAACACCTTGATACGGTGTTGTTATGAGGACTAAAGCAGAGATAACATATGTAAAGCACCTAACATATCCTTGGCACCCTGTAGACTCTCAATAAATGATAATTCTCCTGCAGCTGGCAAAGGACTATGGTATGACTCAGCTGACATGCCTTCCTTTATCAAGAGAGATTTCCCCCTCTAGATTGCTGAGGGCAGACTGTCTGCTAGCTCCTCCATCTGTGTTTATGAGGATGCTTGCCTATAGCCCTGGCATGCTTTAAAGTCTCTTTGTAATTCGGTAGAGCAGGGAATTACATAATGGTGCCCTGCTCTCATATTACTTGGGAATAAAGATTTCTCAACAGCTTGTGTGAAAAAGACCCAAATGTCTGGCTGACTGCAAAATTAACATGAATCAATAGTGTGATGAAGAGAGCAGAAAAATCAATGTATTATAGGGAGCACTAGTGGGAGAGTGCAGTCCTACTGGATCCATCGTACCGTGTAGGTAAGGCTATACCTGGAGTAAAGGACTCAGGTTAGGATGCCGGCGCACTGGGATGGTTCACTAGAAGGGAAGTGCTGGCCAAGAGCGTGAGTTAACTGTCAGAAAAACTCAGGTTACTTAAACTGCAAGAGATGTAGGTTATTGGCTTCTGTTTTCTGAGTGGAGGGAGCAATTTAGAGGAAAAAGAACACCACTCCTTTTCATTTACATAAGAGTGCACATTTCTAAGATGTATGTGCAAACATGTATTTGCAGCTCTGAAATTCCACAGGGAGGAATTAGGGACCGTACACAGAAGTTACAGGGACATACTTCTAGTGGTATTCCCATTTCTATTCCTACTTCAAACTCTGGGCTGTTGTAAGCATTGGCTACTATAACCCATTTTAAACTGGTCTTCCTTACGTCAGTCTCAGCATGGCGTTACATATAAAAGATATCCAAAACAATATTGAAATTAGAAAGCAACGTAACCACAAATACACCCAGAAATTAAAAGAGGCAACAAGGGATAATCGTGTACAACTTTATGTCAATTAATTTAAAATATACAAAATGGTCCATTCTCCAGAAAACTATGATCAATTTTACTGATTCAAGAGGAAATAAGTGACCTAAATCCTATGACCAAAAGAGACTTTAAATCTACCCAAATTATAATAAAGATATAGTTTCCTACAGGTGAGTCTTTAGAAATTTCCAAGGAACATATGGTCCCAATTGTCTAGGAACTATTCCAAAGAATGCAAATAGAGAATGAAAGAAAAAAAATACCCCCAAACTAGTTTTATTAGTCTGGCACAAACTTGAATCCAGAATAGGACAAGGTTAATTGAAAAAAATTGTAAACCAACCTCACTTGTAAATATAAAGATATAAGTTCTAATAAAATTTAGCAAAGTTAATAACTCAGAAACAAAACAATAATACATTATGACCAAGTTGGGTTTATCCCAGAAAAGCATGGAGAGTTTAATATGAGAAAAATCTGTCAATATAATTTACCACATTAACAAATTGCAAGAGAAAAAACACATAGTTATTTTTTATAGAGGCAGAAAAATAAGTTGTTAAAATATAATACTTTTTCATATTTAAAAAACAAAAATGTAATTAAGAGGCAATTTTATTTGGCACACATTTATTTTATAAAATGAGATCATTCTGAATATTGGACATTATTTGATGTAGTTAAGGTAGGTTGTCCATTTCAGGGGACAATTTGGAGATGGAAATCTTTCCTCAAATTCTCCTTTGTAAAGGAAAGAGT